TAGACGCTTCATTTGAATTAACTATTTTTTTAGGGTGTTTTTAAACATTTTGTGTATATAAAAAACTTTTGTTATAGATGTTTTTTGGAATATTTGATACTTGTATGGATAAAATATTTTGTGAATTGATTTTACTTGCATATTACTGTAACATTGTATTTGAAAATTTTGTTTTTAAAAAATAAGTCAATCCAAACGGATTTGTTTTTTGGTTAGTCCTAGAGGCCTTAATAAAAAAGGCAAATCGAAACACATATAAGTGGGCATGGAAGATAAATAAGTGGTTAAATTGGATACATTAGTAAGAGGGTTTGGTAACGTACTGCAGTTAGTAATCTTCTATCATACCTATAGACGCAGATATTTCTTCTTCCTGAGAGATTAGGCAAAACAGTGTGAATAATAATCATAGATGAATCAAGCTAACATTTTATCATCAAACAAGATTTACATGCTTATCTTGCCATTCATAAGGCAAATCGAAACACATATAAGTGGGCATGGAAGATAAATAAGTGGTTAAATTGGATACATTAGTAAGAGGGTTTGGTAACGTACTGCAGTTAGTAATCTTCTATCATACCTATAGACGCAGATATTTCTTCTTCCTGAGAGATTAGGCAAAACAGTGTGAATAATAATCATAGATGAATCAAGCTAACATTTTATCATCAAACAAGATTTACATGCTTATCTTGCCATTCATTTCATTTTCTTTCTTTCTAATAACAATTGAGAAAATTTGATGGAAGAACAGTTCAAACTTTGACGTCTTCTTGATGGAAGAACAGTTCAAACATTAAAAACTCATTTAATCATTTTATATAGGAAAAAGATATTGAATTAAAAGCTTAAAATCAGGCAGAATCAGTTACCATTGACCCCACCACCACCACCCCCCCCCCAACACACACACACAGAAAAAGGGGAAAAAGGAAGAATAAGTTGCAGTCATCCTGGGAAATTTGGACCCTCTCTAATATCTTCTAAACAAATGGAAGTCTTCTTGCTGCTTTCCCCATACATAAGCCATCTGGACCAAGCTTTAGTAGTAACAATTATTAGAGGCAGTGCCTGCACTTCTGCTATAGCCAATGATCAAGTCACCTGTGTGATTTCCAGAGAGGCCCCTTGAACCCTTTTTCAATAATTGAAAACAATTGCATTAGACTTGTCATATTTCAGACTACTTAATTGTATTCCATTTATTCAATCTGCAGGGGGTCCAAATTTGATAAGAGCTGATTACACAACTCAAAATTAATTATGCACGGGGTAATTTTGCATTGACACTGTTACATATTCCGATATTCGTTTGTGCTGTTATTGTATTTAGGATTCACTTAAGAAGCTAGCAGCTTAAAGGGAATAGCTACTGTTCTATCTATCTTGAAAGGTCCAAATAAATAATTAATATTAAGCGAGGAATCCACCTTTTTTTTCTCAGGGAGCGTTTGGTGAGTGGATCTTCTATTAAAGGATAGGTTTCAAAATTAATCATAGTATTATTTATTGTTTGGTTAATGGGTATGATAGACCCATTCTGTGAATTTTATGATATAGGGAACTCATGCATGTAAAAAAAGTTACAAAATACTAGAGGAAGAGATTGAGTGAGTGAAAAAATTTAGGTGAAAAAGGAGTAGAAAAGGGAAAAAAATGTGAAAATTTATACCTAAGATTTAATTACCAAACACTTCACAAAAAAAAAAATCATTATCGTTAACTAATTATACTAGTTATTGATGGTGATGGTAACAGTGATGGATGACTTTTCCAAAGCGATTCCTTGATTTATTAAGTTTTTTTCATTGACTCTTATAGCGAGTTGCTCGACTGGAAACTTTGTTGCCGTTTGGTATCAGCATTCCGAGCTCCTGCATCGTTTTCTTCCACAGTAAAGAACTCAATCACGATTTCTCAGTTCCAGTAAGGTACAAATCACTACAGATGCCTCATCTCTTCTTGATCTTGTTGTTCCTTTCTTTTTTTCTCTTCTCTTTCAAGTGAATTCCTCTGAGCTAAGAAATTAGGACTATTTCCTATCCACGGACTTCTGACTTCTTCGGTACAGGAAAGTTGAGTCAACCACTTTTTTTTTCTTATTTAAGGAGGCTTGGCATTTCAACTAATAACGTATTATAGACTATTTTTTAATTAAAATTCCAGTTTATATGAAATTATAGGGGTTAAAGTGGATATTTTGAAACAGTAGAGAAATAATGTGACAATAAATAAAACTATAGGGAATTATTAGTAATTTGCCCTTAATCTAACTACTATATAAAAACCTAAGAGTACCTTTACCAAGAATTGCCATGTGTATAATTTAAACTGGTTAGGCATTCTTTGATTGGTTTGTTGTTTTAAAACTATTTTCACCAACAATTGTCAGTTGCAATTGACCACTTAACATGTGTTTTTTTTATATGTTTAACTCATTTAATTTACCACTCGATTAAATGAGTTGAGCTTGTGGATATTGAAAGGAAGATTGGATTATGCACTCATAACGGCTATCTCACTCTTACAATATGAGTTGAACCTTTTAATTGTTTGCATTCTTCCGTTTGGGCCTTTTATATTCCTATGTCTTTTGGTGTTCCATAGTTTTCGGTTTCAGATGAAGAGCATAACCTCCATAAGGCTTCGAAAGCTTTCAGACACAAGTTTCTTTTTCGGAGAAAAAATGCTCACAAATAGTATTAATCAACTAGTGCTCACGGTGCTCTTTGGCAAGGGAATTTTATATTTGTTTTAATTGTTTTATTTGCATCCAAAACACAAAATAAATATTGCATGGATAGTGAGTCACCAGTACTTTGATTAATTTTTCCCTTTTTAAATTATCTTTGGATAAAAGGGTATAACAATCTGGAAAAAATTATTTGCTATATCATTGTTTTCATAAATTTGTCTTCATCGGATAATTTATCTCTTGCCACAGAGTTTGAAGATCAACAAGCATTAGCATATTCACAAAGGTCTTGGTTTGCAAGTTTGTCTTGAATTACTCTTCTTAATGTTTACTACCTATTAGATGAATTGTTTGAGAGGCAGTTTCTATTTGATTTATAAAGAATGATTAAGCCAATCGTTTAAATTGTTTAGAATCTTTAAAATACTACTATCATTTATGCTAAGGGACTAATTAGTGAGCTGTTGCAGAGGGCTACACAACCCGTAACAAATTCCTCACTGTTTGTATATGCATACATATCACAACCTACAGCAATGAACTTGTTTTTGGTGTGAGAAAAACTAAAATGAGAGCCGCTATAATTTACTACCAAATAATCATTGAAATTTTATTCCTAACGATCTAGTATAAGTGAAAGGAGAAACCTCCCCCATTATTCCAATATTATCTTCTGAGATATCATAAACTTCTTGAAATGATTGTAAAATTGCTTTTCTAGAATTCTTGCATGTGATTTCAAAACCATCGTCAAAGTAATAGCCCTTCCAAACGCCGAATGGATAAGGAATGGATACATCACCACATTTTGGGTCGCAGCCTTTTTTTGGCAATGGATCCTAATTTTGATCCTTGTGCTTGCGAAGCCATCAAGGTTACTACCAAAGAGAGAACTGTTATTATTCTTACACTTTATCAAGTTTTTGATGGTTTGCGTATGTTGTTTTTTAAGCACATGTATATAGCAGGATTGGATGCTTTGTACAAAGATCTATATTGGGATAATATAGAATTAACCCAACTTGCTTAAAGTTTCTTTACTTTTTGTAAGCACTAATTACTATAATATATAGGTGTATAGTGCTATATTTGTTGCTTCCCATCTAGAAATAATAAATTTGGATAAAATGATTCTTTATATTAGTAGGGGTCAAGAGGGTAAAAATTTGATTTTTGGCAAAGTATATTACTAGCAATTCATGAAAGTTTGTTCGTCATTGCTACCACCAAATTAGTTCTTGAAGAAATAGCAGCAACCACCTCTTTGACTGCACAAACATCAAGTTCAGCAAGTACTATGAAAAGAAACTTGCCCTTCAATGATCAAATCACAGAAAAGGATTCTGATGGAACCGAGATTACTTCTACAGCAAAGGTGCAAGACTCCATCGAAAAAACATCTGAGGCCAACACTCCAGCAAAAGAAAAAGTAAATGCCAGCCCTGCAAAGAAATGCAAGGCTGCCTTGCACATTAACTAGCATTGCTAAATTGTCAACCTCTTTTGTTATGCCATTCGTCTAGACTTTTCTTTTATTATCAATCACTTCAAACTTTCTTTTGGCATAATATTATGATCTGTTACCCTATCACTTTAATTAAGTTAGCTTTGTTAACTGCGTCTATATATATATATATATATATATATATATATATATATATATATATATATATATATATATATTAACTTGAGTTTGTTTCTCTAAATATATGTTCCACTGAAAGTTTAACTACAAATGCATCATCTTTCAGTGGGCACACAGCCAGTCCATGCTAGTTTTATTTATATGTAAACTTTTTCTATTCTGTGCCCACATTTATTTCTTACTACATAGTAAATACTTCTATTTTCTGTTGCCACAAAGTTCAGGAATGCATGAATTATTTGCGTTCAAGCTTTTCCTTTTTCAAACAGATTTCTTTTTCCTTTTATACCTTAATTTCCAAAAGCATTGCCAAAGAAATTAATTTCTATAAACCCTTCCGAAGGGAATTTGCCTCGAATTCAAACTTTTATTCCTCAAAAAACTACTGAAATTAACTTCATTGAAAACTTTATTCCTAATGTAGCCTCAATAATTGCTAAAAAGGCATTCAACCCAAAACCGAGTACATGTTTTCCTTGTCTATGTCCAGCAATTAATTAACATTGACTTTTGCAGCAAGATTTCTAAGTCATCTCTAAGCAGCTTGGACGCAATCAGTTATTGGATCTGTATCTTTATAAGTACTTGCTTACATGCCACAAAGGCCCTCAGCTTCTCATTGTGAAGTTTCCCTTAAACATGTTGATCCTACACAATTCCATGCATCTAGTTTATTTGATTTTCGTATGCATGGGCATTTTACAGTTGATTTCTACTTCAGCAAATGCTGCTTCTCAAAGCCTTTCAGTACCAACTAATGGAAGTCAAGAGAATGCTCTTTTGACATGGAAAGGCAGTCTTGACAATCATAGCCAGTCTAAGTTGTCATCCTGGTCGTCTCCTGCCAATCCTTGCAGCAGTTGGGTTGGAATCCGATGTAACAAAGCTGGAAGAATATCAATCATTAACATCGCTAGCTCTGGGATTAAAGGTACACTTGATCAGCTAAATTTCTCGTCTCTACCCCATCTAACTGCTATCAATCTTTCTAATAATGAACTCTATGGGACCATTCCATCCAGCATAGGTAACCTCTCTAGACTAACATTTTTGGGCTTATTTTCAAATCATTTCTCTGGTGCCATTCCAATTCAGATCGGCCAACTAACCAATCTTAGGATCTTGTATCTTTTCAGTAACTCATTCTCTGGCTCAATCCCAAAACAAGTTGTGTTCCTGACTTCTCTTGTTGAACTCGATTTTGAACAGAATGAGTTTACAGGATCAATCCCTACTTCCATTGGAAACATGACTAACCTAAGACGTCTGAGCCTACGAGCCAACAAACTTTCAGGAAGTATTCCTTTGGGGATTGGAAACTTGACAAAACTGGATCTATTAATTCTTGATACAAACCACCTATCAGGTGCCTTTCCTGAAGAGATTGGGAAACTCAGATCTCTTATTCAACTCTCTCTTGCCATGAACATGCTCACAGGTCCCATTCCACAGTCTATTGGAGACTTAGGTAACCTGACTTTGCTGTATCTTTTTGATAATTCTCTTTCTGGACCTATCCCTGAAGAAATTGGAAACCTCGTCTCTCTTGAGAATCTTGCACTTGATTATAACAATCTCACCAGTAAGATTCCCAATTCCATTGGTAATTTGGGACGATTAACTTATTTATACCTTCCTGGAAACAAGCTCAGTGGACATATTCCTTCAACTTAGGTAACCTGACTTTGCTGTATCTTTTTGATAATTCTCTTTCTGGACCTATCCCTGAAGAAATTGGAAACCTCGTCTCTCTTGAGAATCTTGCACTTGATTATAACAATCTCACCAGTAAGATTCCAATTCCATTGGTAATTTGGGACGATTAACTTATTTATACCTTCCTGGAAACAAGCTCAGTGGACATATTCCTTCATCCATTGGAAATTTAACCAATCTCATTGATTTGCTATTTCTGAAAACAACTTATATGGGGCCATCCCTTCAGAATTGAGGAAAATGAAGTTACTAGCTGATGTTCGTCTTTTCACAAACCAGCTAAGTGGAGTTCTACCAGATGGTTTCAATAATCTCACACATTTACAAATTCTAGCAGTGTCTGAAAACAATCTTACTGGTCAATTACCTGAAAATATTTGTATTAGTAGCTCACTAACCAGGTTTATAATATTTAAAAATAATTTTGTGGGTGCTGTGCCAAGGAGTTTGAAAAACTGTTCTAGCTTAAATATTATCATGTGTCCATAGAAACCAACTATCAGGAAATATCTCTGAAGATTTTGGTGTTTATCCACACATGAACTATATTAACTTAAGCAACAATAAATTTTATGGCGAGTTGTCTTGGAATTGGAGTGCCTATCGGAATTTGACAGCGTTGAAGATCTCCAACAATAATCTTTCAGGCAGAATACCAACAGGGCTTGGCGAAGTATCTCTCCTGCAACAACTTCACCTTTGTTCTAATCGCTTACATGGGAAAATTCCAAGAAGTCTGGGGAAGTTGAATTTGTTGCTTGAGCTTAAGCTGGACAACAACCATCTATCAGGCAATATACCATCAGAAATTGGACAGATGTCTAGGCTTCTAAATCTAAGTTTGTCAGCCAACAATCTAAGTGGCTCAATTCCAGAACAAATAGGTGATTGCACACAATTATTGGAATTGAATTTGAGCCAAAATGAGCTTAATGAAAGTATCCCTTCTCAAATAGGAAACCTTCACTCGCTTGCTACTCTTGATCTCAGTTAAAACATGTTGGAATCCAAAATGCCACCAGAACTAGGAGATTTGAAAAGCATCGAGAAGATGAACCTTTCACATAATAGGATATCAGGTTCCATCCCCAAAAGCTTTGATCATTGCTTAAGTTTGATTTCTGTTGATATATCCTACAATCAATTGGAAGGTCCTCTTCCCAACATTACTGCATTGTCATCCCTACTTGTGAGACCTACTTGTGAGACCTTGGCCTAGTGGGAATTAGAGAACTATATGTGAATTTGTTGTCACATTTGTGAGTTTATTTCTAGTATTATTGAGTTCTAATTCCCACCTTTTATTGGTGATTTGTTAATTGTATTATTCCGATTCTTTTGTATTCTTATAAAAAAAATTAAAATAAACATAGGACGTAGATATAGCTAAAATTTGGAGACAAGGGGAATATAATAACTTATGTTTGGAAGAGTTGACGCTTAATTAAGAATTGCCTCTAACTATCAAAATCTCAACGAAAAAATGCTCCAATAACGATGGTCATGGTAACGAAACAGGTTTTATCATATATTATTGCTTATCACACTTTTAACAATCAGTTGATTGCTTGTTGGATCCATACTTAAATAGCTGGATACGTCTATAGTTTTGGAATTCTGTTGCTAGTTTTGGACCGATCCACTTAAATAGTATTGTTTTCTCTTTTCGTCTCAAAATTCACCATTTAATAGATAGTTTGATTACTTTGTAGAATATGGCATTGGAGAAAAACCATCCACAGCTGGAGACGTCTACAGTTTTGGAATTCTGTTGCTAGAACTCTTCACAGCCAAAAGCCCAAGACATGCAAGTTTCACGGAAGGATTAAGCTTAAAGAAGTGGGTAGACATCAATTCTCCCACAAACATTGAGGAAGTGTTGTACCCGGAATTACACAAGGATTGTGATTCCATTGACCAAGAAATCCAAGGTGATTGCCTGATCAAAGTCATGGGGATAGGCCTGTCTTGTGCTGCAGATTCTCCTGATAACCGCATAACCATGAGAGTTGCTTTGCACGGATTGAAAGCTATGAGAGATGTTCTTCTCAAGCCTGATAGGCATAAAAATTCCAAGTCCTTAATGCACTATTAAGTCCAACAATCATCGTCTTCCTGGAGCTCGTTATGGCAATGGTATATAGCGTGATAGGGAGAAAGGATAATGCAGTTGGCCTAAATATTGCTTTGTATGTACTAGTACTTAATCATGAAAATGAGAGTATGCTGCTAATTTTCAGTGCCATTACTTCCAATTCCGAAATGTAAAAGATTATCTTTTGTTCTCCAGTTATGTGTAAAACAATTCCCAGAAATACATAGAATTGGATTGTTGTTTCTAGGAATATACAAAGTTACAAGTACCATTCACATCACCTCGTACATGTTTCTTTAGTTGTCCTGTTAATCGTTTCAGAAAGAGGAGGAAAAAACGAGGATTATAATTGCACTGTTGTTCTGAACCAACCAAGAAAAATCAAGCAAAGGGAAGGGGAACAAATATAATCCCAAAAACCATCTACAAGACGATGAAAAAACACCAATTCTTAGGCAATGAAAAAGTCAACAATTACATTTGAGAACTAAAATAGTAATATATTATCAATTTAGGCACCAATTCTTATTTAGGAACCTTGAATTGATGAAACTCAAAGCACTAACTCTTCCTTTAAATTAAGACTCTAGAATGGTTCTTTAAAGTTTTCTGAATAAAGAAACCAATAGAGATAGAGAGCTGGCCACCTAAATCTTTTAGTTGCCAAATAATTTTCCATTTTATCAAATCATGAAAGCACGCCTTTGACAATTAAAACATCAAGAACTTAATTAAAAGGCAGGACTGAAACAAAGGCTTAGCAGTTGTATTGACAAGTTTCTTGAAAAGAACAAAACCTACGGGAAAAGGATACACCCTTAGTTCCCAATTAATCATGAGTGATGTCTTAGTCATAGTCCATCAAATTTTGACTTTTGTGAATGTGGATTTTGATCAACCCAAAGTCATAGAAAATGATCATTATGGAACATGACTAAATTAATGCATTATGCCCAAAATTTGTGTCCGATTATGTGAACCACTGAAGAAAAGAGTTAAATGCCCAAAATAATAATAATAAGAAGAAGTTACAACAACAACAGCAACGAAACGAGTTACATATATTAATTACTTCCATTGATTCTCTCTTAGAACACCATATGATTTAATTCCTTAATCCATAAGGCAAAGGCAAAATCTAGAAAACAATACATCTAGTAGGTTTAATAGAAATGGTAACGCTAGTAAAGCATACATTATTGTAATCCTTAAAAAAACTTTCAAATTATTGACTTTTAACTTTAATGAATCAAATTTAGTCCACATAAAAATTAAATTCAATGAAGATTATAGTTCTAAATTCAATGAACCAGGACTTTTTTGGTACATAGATGAGGATTGGAATTGATCTTTGGTGACGGGATCCATTTTTTGGATCTACAACTCCATAAATACTTGCATATATGCGACGAAGGCCGCCAGCTTCACAACAAAAGGTTTCTCTTGAGAACATCTCCAGTGAGTAAATATGTTCATCCTGAAGAATACTAAGTGTCAGTCTAGTTTAGTTTTTGCATCCATGGCCATCCTTTAGAAGTTCCGTTATGGGCTTCGTGTGGTAATTTTGACATTTTTAGAAGTTTCGTTACGAATGATTATTTTCATTATTTTGAAATTTTAATCCAAATCATTAGGAAGTTATGTATAACTTTTGAAATCGTAGGGAGGTTATGTAAAAAAAGGTTAAACCACAAAGGGGTAAAATGTAATTTGCCCTTAAATATAAGCATGAGTCCATGGGCTAGTAAAAAACTTAAATTAACTATTTTGCATATGTGTTTTTGCTCAAAATTTATTAGGCTAATCTTTGAATCCAAGGCGTTAAACTAACTCTTAATTACAAATTAAATATTGCTTACAAAGAAACACGTGTATAGATAAAACTTGTCCTCAAGACCCAATTTAACTGGTGGAAATATTAGCCAAGCCACCATCAGGATCTAGATTTGATCTCAAGTCTACAACTAACTCTTTCTTCCAACCGAATGATTTCACACAATTGAGATACCTTGAAAATTTTGTCCGGAAAAGAGATGGTGGATTGGTCAAAGTATAAACATATACTCGACAATTACCACTTAAGCATTAACTCTTAATTGAAAATCAACTACTCATTTATATATAATGGAAAACAATGATATCTTAAACTTATAAAGCACTAATTCTTTTTTCAAAATAACCAACTAGTCAACAATACAATTATCACTTATTTAAGTACTAACTGTTAATTACAACTTAATTATTCAATTATCAAGGAAAACAAGGGTAGCTTAAACTTAAGCACTAGCTCTTAATTTCAACATAATCATTCCATTAACCACTAATTCGATGCTAGACTTACCGTCTAGACTGGTTGGAACCTTCTACTTTCTTTTTATTGCTCTTTTTTTTTGGGTTGATATACAAGCCCCATTCCTTATCTTGCTAAATAATTTTACTTTTAACCCATAAAGTTTAGGAAAGTTGTTTGTGTTAAAGCCTTTTTTCCCCTAACAAATTTGTTTTTTATGCTTTAGTTACAAAAGCATTGTCAAAATTTTCTAAAAACTCTTTCCAACTATTTTCCTTCCTTTTAGTCCTCAAGAAAATAAAGGAAATTAAATTAAGTTAAAATATATTCCTTAGCTAAAATATCAATGTCAATATTACATAAACAGTCTCAACAATTACAAAAATGCATATTAAATTTTGAAGATATAACATAGCCATCAAATTTTGTCGTGAAGTTAATTTAAGGGAAAAAAAATTTATACGTGCCCATGTCAAGTAATTGATTAACCAAGACTTTTGCAACATAGATGAGAATAAGAATTGATGTTTGATGACCAGTCACGACTTCAGTTATCATCGGAGCAGCTTCATGGCCTTCCATTTTTGGATCTACAGATCTATAAATACTTGCATATGGCCGAGGAAGGCCGCCAGCTTCTCAGCAACCAGTTTCTCTTAAGAGGATTTTGTAGCGAAACATAGCTAGTAAATATGTTAATTCTGAACAGTTCCATCGTTCAACTTTATTCAGTTTTTGTATCCATGGCCATCCTACAGTTACTCTTCATTTCTGGAATACATGCTGCATCTCATCAAATGCATGCAGTATTCGGTAATGGAAGTGAAGGGAGAGCCCTTTTAACATGGAAAGCCAGTCTTGACAATCATAGCCAATCTCAGTTGTCATCCTGGTCGTCTTCTGCCAGTCCTTGCAGCAGTTGGATTGGAATTCGATGCAACAAAGCTGGAAGAATATCGGCTATTAACATCACCAGTTCAGGCATCAAAGGTACACTTGATCATCTCAATTTCTCCTCTCTACCCCGTCTAACTAGCATTGATCTTATTGATAATGCACTCTATGGAACCATCCCATCCAACATTGGGAACCTTTCCAGGCTAACATTTCTTCGCTTGGAGTCAAATCATTTCTTTGGTGTTATCCCAGTGCAAATCAGCCAACTAACCCATCTTAGCTTCTTGTACCTTTACAATAACTCATTCCATGGCTCCATCCCTGAAGAACTTATGTCTCTCAGGTCTCTTGTTGAACTCGATTTGGTACAGAATGAGTTTACAGGATCAATCCCGACGGCTGTGGGAAATTTAACCAACCTAAACCTTCTAGCCCTACGCGTCAACAAACTTTCAGGACGTATTCCTGTGGGGATTGGAAACTTGACAAAACTCAATCAATTATCTCTTGAAACTAACCAGCTATCAGGTTCCATTCCAGAAGAAATTCTGAAACTCGGGTCTCTTAGTGTATTCACTGTAGCCAAGAACATGCTCACTGGTCCAATTTCGCAGTCTATTGGAAACTTAGGAAACTTGACTTTGCTCTATCTCTACAATAATTTTCTGTCTGGACCTATTCCTGAAGAGATTGGAAATCTCACATCTCTTGAGGATCTTGCACTTGATAATAACAAGCTCACGGGTAATATTCCCAATTCCATTGCTAATTTGAAAAAGTTAACTTCTTTATCCCTTCTTGGAAACAATCTTACAGGACATATTCCATCCTCCATTGGAAATTTAACCAATCTCATTGAATTGCTACTTTATGAAAACTACTTAGAGGGGACCATCCCTCCTGAATTGGGAAAGTTGAAGTTGCTAGTTGACATTTTTCTTTTCAGAAACCAACTAAGCGGTGTTCTTCCAGATGTTCTTACTAATCTCACCCGTTTAAAAATGCTAGAACTATCTCAAAACCGTCTTACTGGTCATTTACCACAAAGTCTTTGCAGTGGTGGCTCACTAACACGATTAGTGATATATGAGAATGACTTTGTGGGTGCTATGCCTAGAAGCCTAAAAAACTGCTCTAGCTTACAAGCTATCGATGTCCAAAGAAACCAACTATCAGGAAACATAACTGAAGATTTTGGTGATTACCAACATGTGGACCATATTGATTTAAGCGATAATTTGTTTTATGGCACACTGTCTTGGAATTGGAGCGCCTTTCTGAATTTGACAAAGCTGAAGATCTCCAACAATAATCTTTCTGGCAGAATACCAACAGGGCTTGGCGAAGTATCTCTCCTGCAACAACTTCACCTTTGTTCTAATCGCTTACATGGGAAAATTCCAAGAAGTCTGGGGAAGTTGAATTTGTTGCTTGAGCTTAAGCTGGACAACAACCATCTATCAGGCAATATACCATCAGAAATTGGACAGATGTCTAGGCTTCTAAATCTAAGTTTGTCAGCCAACAATCTAAGTGGCTCAATTCCAGAACAAATAGGTGATTGCACACAATTATTGGAATTGAATTTGAGCCAAAATGAGCTTAATGAAAGTATCCCTTCTCAAATAGGAAACCTTCACTCGCTTGCTACTCTTGATCTCAGTCAAAACATGTTGGAATCCAAAATGCCACCAGAACTAGGAGATTTGAAAAGCATCGAGAAGATGAACCTTTCACATAATAGGATATCAGGTTCCATCCCCAAAAGCTTTGATCATTGCTTAAGTTTGATTTCTGTTGATATATCCTACAATCAATTGGAAGGTCCTCTTCCCAACATTACTGCATTTCACAAAGCTCCTTTTGATGCCCTGAGAAACAATACAGGGTTGTGTGGCAGTGTTGTTGGATTGAAAGCCTGCTCGCTGTCAACTCAAAAGAAGAATAGTAGGAGGACAAGTAAATGGATTATTTTGGTAATTGTTCTTCCAATACTAGCAGGCGTGTTTCTTTTGATTATAGCTGT